CCACCGCCTGTCTTCCTGGAGCGTGAATCAATGAGGCTTTCCCGAGCCTCTCCTTCTTCTGGGGTTTCCATGGGAATCCTCCCATGCGTGACGGAGCCAGAAGCCCCCAAGGCGGAGGCTCAGGCTGTCAGCCAGCGAGGAGAGCAGCGGACAGGATGAAGGAGGTTTGCTGGGCGGTGACCAGGCCAGCATGCTCTGCAAGGTCATTTGAAAGAGACACACCTTTGAGGCAGCGAGCCCAGAGGCCCTACGTGCACATGCAGCCCTGGCAAGCCTGGTCACCCCAGGCACAGGTGGGTGGTCTGCAGGACGGCTGGCCTCTGTGAGGCCCAGCATGGCTCGGGCCGGAGCAGAGCTGGAAGAGAGGGCATGAGGGAGGATGCTGCATAATGGGATCTTCTTGGGAAAACTTCTATGAAGAAAACACAAGAATCTTCATGTCCAGCCCTTCATTTATCTCCCAAGCTGAACTTGGCCCACTTAATATAACTGGTTATCTGAAAACTCAGGATGCTTAAAGAAAAGCAAAACTATTCATGCCTCAGGCTGGATCTAGATCATAATAGGGCCCTGCTGGGATTTCTGAAGGTCCTTCTCTCAAGCCTGAGGTGTCTCTGGGAGCGTTTTTGAGATACCAAGGGAGAAACTAGAGAGAAAGAGGGGATGGTGAGGAAACCCAGAGAGAGAGAGAAGAGAGGGAGCCCCAGGTGGGAGGGAGTCCTTCGGCCCCAGGAACCTGTGGGACTCGCGTGTCTCATAGTACATGGCTGACAAGTGGCCTGGCTAACTGGACCAAGCCCTGCTCCTTTCTGGAGAAGGCAGAGCTCCAGGTTCACCATAAATGGCATTTCACAGCACTCAAATCCAGGGGGGTGACTTTGGAGCTACTCTGGGCCTCTCCCTCTGGGCACACCAGCCATGGAGGTGTAGAGCTCACGGCAGCTTCCTGCCGCCTTCCGGCTCCAGGGTCCACCTTGCCTGCCCCATAAATGGGGCGCCCCCTGGGTCACATCTTCAGTTTCTGCTCCTCTCTCTCTCCTTGCATCTTCTCTGATAACCAGCATTTTCAGTCCTCTGCAGATTCTCCCCAACTGGGTCTCCAGCCCTGCCTTCTCTCCTCAGAACCAGACCCACCGACCTGAAAGCCTCTGACCACCCCAAACTAGGAGCTCCTTCAAACCACCTTGTAAAGCCAGCTGGCCTCTTCCCACCATAAGCCTTCCCCCGTGGGCACGTCCACCCTTTCCAGATGTCAGATATCTGGTGGCCCACCAGCACCTCAGAATCCACACATCCTGGGCTGCCGTGGATCCCCCTGTCTTTCTGTCTCCCTCACTCAATGCTTTCAGCTCGCCCTTAGCTCAGACCTTGCCTGGATTACTGCAACACTCTCCTAACAGGGCTCCCTGACTCCAGGCTGTGCCCCACAACCCACCCTTCATGCTGCCAAGGGATAAATCTGACCAAGCTCCCCCTCTCCCTGTCTTCTCGTTCAACCCTCTAGGTGGCTTCTCCAGGAAGAAGCTGCACCCCTTAGCTTAGCACACAAGAGTCCTTCAGATCTCTCTCCAGGCCAGTCTCCCAGCACTGCCCACTGTAGACCAGCCATGCTAGACTCCCCCAGGCACCACATCCCTTCCACACCTTGGGGTCCTTGGAGCCTTCCCACCTTCCCCTACCTGGCTGATAGCCTTTCACTCTTCCCCACCCCTAAGCGGGCTGGGCAGTCTCTGTAGCAGTCCTCCATCCCATTGCCTCCTCGTCCTTGCTGTCTTCTGCACCACGTGCTGCATTTCTTGCTGGTGAAGCCCTCGCCCAACTAGCCTCTACCTCCCACAACACTCAGCCAGTCTGGTAGTATTCAAAAGCATTTGTTGGAGTGAAGAAGGACTATCCGCTCCTCATCTCCTGTAAAGTTTGCATTTCTAACAACAAACTTCTTATAATAATTATGGTACCCATTTTAAGTGGGGATTAAGTTCTAAACTCAATATGTGAAGCAAAAATCGCATGCAATCAACACTGCCCTGGAAAGTCCTTCTGAAGGTCCACAGGTTCGTGATACCTGATTTGGGTTTGCCACCCTCTTCCCCAAAGAGCTCAGCACACACAACTGTTTCTCCTACAGCCTCGGAACAGATCCCTATTTTCTGAGCTGAGCGGCAGCAGATAAACCAGTTGACTTATTTAGGGACCAGGTTATATTAAAAATGGGTTGCTGTTTTATTTATTTTTTACTGTTGATCGTTTTTACCAAGTGTGTATGGTTATGTTCACATAAGTTAAGTGCACACATTTATGTATTTATTTTTAAAGATGACTATGAGGCAAAGACTTCTAGTAACTTCGCTCCAGGTACCTCCCACTGATTTTCCACTTGGAGTGGTCTCTTCTAGTGGGGGGCTGCCTGAGAGCTTTCATTCCTGTGCCAACAAAGAAGTGACCTATTGGTCACTATTTGACAAGAGGTCAGGCAAGTTGGAGAAAATTAAGTGCCCCTGTGTGGTGAGTTGTACTGGGTCTTTTCCCAAAGAAGCGAGCAGCTGTGCACTGGCCCAGGCCTTGGCCACTTCCTGGGGTAGGAGTGCAGTACCCCAAGGACAGGCCTGCCTAAATGAGTAGAAGGAGCCAGTCTTAAGAAAAGCTAAGGGGAAAAGTAGCCTATGCAGGAGGAACAGAAAACGAAAAACTCCTTAGAGTGTTGGAGCAAACCCAAAAAGTCCAGGGGTGAAGATAATGAGAGGGGAAAATGGTGAGAAAGGAGGGGAGGGGACAGTCATCAGACCTGGAGGGCCTGGGGGCATCTAGACTATACTGAGGAGGTTCTAAGGTAGGGAGGGATTTGGTCTAGTTACATTTTTAAAAGATGTTTCTGATACATGGTTATTACTATTTGTTAATCTGATACTCGAAAAAACTGTATCTTACTGTAGTTTTAACTTGCATTTTTATTGAGTGAGGTAGAGCACCTTGCCACATGTTTAAGTATAATTTTGATTTCATTTTGTGTATGTGAACTGTTTATGGTCTTTGTCCGTTTTTGGTCTTCTGCTTGTTGACTTGAGGAACATTTTACACATTAAAGAGATGAGCTCTTTGTGACAGGAGTGGCAATTCTCTCCCCAGATTGTCATATGTCTTTTAACTGTTTATGGTGATTTCTTTTCTCTGCAGATTTATAAATATATAATTGAATTTATCAGTCTTTCAAATAAAATAGAAATACAAACTGGAGAAATATTTGAGTGGAATGGCCAGAGAGTTGAATTTTGTTTGCTGTTTGTCAAAGGTGGCTTAAATTCATTTCATTACTACTTTTTAAGGAAGTTAAAAAAAATGGAATCAATCAGAGGGTATGTGTCTCAGAGGAATATGCCCCATGTAAGGTGCACTTATGCCATGCTGTTGACACTTTGTCTTTCTACAAACTCCATTCATTAGCAGCGCTCTTAAAAAAAAAAAAAAGAAAAATGAAGGTTTTGGGGATTGAGGAGGGATCTCCCAACAGCTGGAGTGACAGAAGCTGCAGGATTTGGTTGGAGGATAGAGGGGCCAAGGTGAGCAAACAGAGCCTGGGAGAGTCTAGTGCACTGATCTCTTCCCACAGGGCAGTGACAGGACGGTGGGCAGATCCTGAATTCTCCTGTTCGTAGCGTTTCCCTGAGGCTCTGGCATAACATTTCACGTCTTGCTGATTTAGGCGCATCAGATTGCCGGGGGCGGGGTGGGGTGGGGGGTGCGCGCGGGGAGTGTGGAAGGATGGGGCTCAGATTCCTAGAGAGGAGAGAACTCCTGCCTTGACCCCCAAGCTCCCCAGGAGGAGGATGGGGGCAGAAGAGGAAACTCAGCTGGGAGAGATTAGAGTACTTGCCCAAGGTCACACCGCGGGCTCGTGGTGAGGGCGCAATTCGAACTCAGGCCCGACTCCAGAGCCGAGAGCTCGCCACCTCCTCGCGACAGCGGTACAAGAAGTGCCCTCCTCTCGCTTCCAGTCCGCCACAGCCCACGCTCGGCCATCCGGAGGCGGGAGCCGTCACTCCCCCCGCTTCTCCCGCCAGGGAGAGGTCCTGGGCTTGGCGTCCCCTCCTGGCTCGGAGCCCGCGGTGCATCCTGCGCTAACCGGGCGGGCGGACACATTTGCCGCGCTCCAGGCTCTGGCCTCCTCCCTCCTTCCCAGACCCCACCCCCCGCCCGCGACTTGCGGAGCCCGCGACCCCCTCCCTTCCTGAGCATCGCCAAGTTTGTCACCAAGCACGGCCAGGAACCGGCCCAGAGCAGCGCGCGGGCCGGGCGACCAGCCTCACCACCCAGCGTCAAGAATAAACGGTAACGACAGCCACCACTTCGCCAGCGCCTACTGCGTGCCAGGCGCTTGACTTCCACCGCTCGGAATACCCCCAGCCCCGACGAACAGACCCCCAGAATTTATTGTCCGCATTACATAGACCAGGGAGCTGCTGCAGCTCAGGAAAGTTGGATGACACGCTGGGGCTCACACAGCCAACAATAATGCTCGCTAACATTTGATTGAGTGCTTCCTACGAGCCCGACACAGGTCTACGTATGTTACAAGCACCACCTCACAGATCCTACCAATACTCCTGTACAACAGGTACCATTATCATCCCCATCCTACGGATGAGGTAACCGAGGTTTGGCACCTTGCCCAAGGTCACCCAGCCAGCGAATGACGGACCTTGCCTCCAGGCAGGGTAACTCGGGGGCTGTTTTTTGCGCTGTCTCCATTACGCAGAGAAGCAGCAGGCTTCGAACCCGCGGCACCAGGCGCCGGCCCCAAGACCCCCAAGGCTGCACGCGAACCGACCAGCTTGGACTGCCACAGCCGGCAGAGAGGAATTCCCGGGGACTCGGACGGAACTCACGCCGGGAGCGCCGGCAGTGGCTAGTGCCGGCCCGCACGAGGTCCGCGCGGTCAGATCTTGGCTACTGGCTCTCGCGCGCCCCAGGGCGCCCCTCACCAGAAGCTGGAGAATACTTACCATAAAAGAGAGGGCGAGTGCCTGCCCTAAAGGAGTAGCCAGCGCGGGCAGGTCCTGGACTCCGGGGAGAGGCGTCTGCCACTGCCGCCCACTCAGGGGCGCCCGAGCGACCCCGAAGATGCCGGCTCGTTCCCCGCGGCCAGGGGCGCGTCCTCACGGCTGGTGCCCAGCAGCAGCTCCCCCTCTGCCCGGCAGGGTGGCCTGGAGTTGGAGCGTTCTTGGGGAAGTTGGCGCTCGGCGCGGCGGGAGGGGGCGGGAGAGCGGGTGGGAGTAGGGAAGCGCCCTCCTGCTCGGATCCCGGGGGCACGCCAAGGCCCGCGCTTTAGCCGTTCCGAAGCTCCGCGCTGAAGCCGGAGGGCGGCGAGGACCGAGCTCAGGGCGCACGGGCCGCGCCTCGGCCGCCGGCCCCTGGCGCGCCCTGCGTCTTCCCCCGCGCCCGGGGCGCACGCAGCGGTGGCTGGAGCTGGGGCCCGGGCCCGGGCTGCGGTGCGCTCATCGCCCTCCCCAGGGGCTGGGCGCCTTTGTGCGCGGGGCGCGCCGGCCGCCGCGACCAGCTCTGGATGCTGCAGCTGCCGCCGCCTCCCCCTCCTCCGCCGCCGCCGCCCGCTCCCCGCCTTCCCGGCCGGCCCGGAGGCTGCAGCTGAAAGCCGATCCGGCTGAGCTCATCCCTGAAGGCCACTAATCCAATAGCCGCGGAAGGCGCGGCCGCCGGGAACGCCCCTTCCCCCACCATCCCGCGCCCCGGCCCGTCCCAGCTCGGGCCGCTGCCGGCGCCGCCACCTTCCCGAGGCCACCAGCTGGCGGGAGAGGGAAATGGAGCCCGCGCCCGCGCCGGTGTCGAGTCGGCGCGGTCGCCATTCACCCGCCCGCCGGCCCGCGCACTCCCTCACTCACGCACTCATTCACGCGCGCGGGTCCTCCCCCATTCATTCAAGCCGGGAGCGCCTGGGTGGGTGCCCCTGAGGGGGAGGAGACACCCACAGTCACTCGGCAGCTTTGGCGTCTTTACCCAACGCACGTGGGAAATAGCAGCCAGGGAAAGAGGATGTTTAACAGCCTCTTCTTCAGACACGTGTCCACACTTTATTTTTTAAGATCAGGCTCCAACTCGTCTCTTCTTTTAAAGTCCAATTTCATACCGCACCTGCCTCACAGAGTCTTCCCTGCCCACCTGAGGCGCAGGGAGGTGGGTCTCTGTTCTGCGGGCTACCGGCGCTGAGGGTGGGCTGCTTCGTGGCGAAGAATGCGAGCTGAGAGATGAGGAAGAGGGCGTGGCCAGAGCGGAGGCCGGTAGGGTGCTTCTAGCATCTGTGCTTCCTTGAGGAAACTGAAAGTTCCTGGTCTGGGTGCCCTCGTCTGTGCTCCCAGAATTGACTTCAGTTCCATTCCACAATCATTTGGTTTGACACTAGCCCCCTCTGTGCAAGGCACCAAAGAGCCGAGATGCAGAGCGCCCATTTCATCAGGACACAGACGAGTAAAGACAGTTTGCCAGGGAAGGAAATTTTTAGTGGAGGCTCTGGGGCTCCTTCCCCGGACTGGGAAGGGCAATCTGGGAATGCTTCCTAGTGGAGGTGGCTACACGAATTAGCTCCTGGAGGCAGGGGAAAAGGATGGTCACCTGGCTAGGTACTACCACAGCACAGAGCCTATTGTATGAGAGCAGAAAGTGGTAAGACGAAACTGGAGGGATAGACAGTGGCTAGGGTCTTGGGGGCCATCCAAAGACATTGGCCTTTCCCCAAGGTCAGCTGGAGAGGCCTTTAGCCAGGATAGTGACTGTCAGATTTGCATTCCAGAAAGATCTCACAGCAGCAGAGTGGGTGGATGGAGGAAACCAGCTTGGAAGCTACTGAAACGGTCCAAGCAAAAGAGGATGCTTCATGAACCAGGGCAGCGTGGCGGGGTGGCAAAAAGGTGTGTTGATCAAGTATTTATTGCACTTATTCTACTGTTTTGTCATTGCCAGTTTACAAGTCTGTCTCCCTCCTAAGACTGTGAACCCCCCGGAGGGCAAGGATCTGTATTTGACACATCTCTGGATCCCCTGTGCCTAGCGCAGAACAGCTATTGAGTAAATGTGATGTGAACTGACCCGGATGGCAGTTCTGACCTAGCTTCATGCTCACTGCATTGTCAGGAATCGGCACAGCAGCCCTTCCTGTGCCCCATCAGGAAGCTCCTGGAACACCTACTGGGCAAGCTGCTGTGGGGGCCTTGGACACGACTGTGGAGCAAGAAAAGAAAATCTGAGGAGAGAAGATCAGAAGCAAAGGGGAGTTTAAAGAAGACTTTCAAAGCTCACGGTTTCTCCACCTGGACCCCGACCCAATCTGGCTGACAGGGTGGGGCAGGGGGACTCCCACTGCTTCCCCTCCTTGCTGGGAAACACCACAGCAGCTTCAAGCACAAGATGCAGAGGGAGCAATGCCACAGTTTGCAAAACGAACTCCTCCCTCCCTTGGAGGCTCCAGATAGGTTCACCACACTGGCCCCTCCAAATAAGACTATGCCTCAGGCACAAAGGAGTGGCCACAATAGCACCCCATGTGTCCCTGTAGGCCCCAAAATACTCCAGCCCCTGGATATCAGGGGAAATAACCTGCCATTTTGGAAGAAGCCAGGAGAGCCAGGCTATTAAAACTCTTCGGATTGAGATGAGCAGCCTCTAAGATGGCCCCCAGTGATCCCTGCCTCTTGGTTTCACACCCTTGTAACCCCTCCCCTTAGGCGCAGGTTGGCCTCGCTGACCCACTTCTCACAAACAGGATACAGTAGAATTGACGGATGTCCCTCCCAAGATTAGGTAGTAAAAAGACAGTGGCTTTTGTTTTGAGCGTGCGCTCTCTCCCTCTTACTCTCTTTTGGGATCACCTCCCTGGGAGAAGCCAGCTGCCAGGTCCTGAGGCAGCCTTGTGGAAAGGCCCATGTGGTGGGGCCAACAACCATGTGAGTGAACTTAGAAGCAGATACCCCGCAGTTGAGCCTTCATATGAGACTGCAGCCCTGTCTGACACCTTGACTGCAATTTCACGAGAGACCTTGAATCAGGGACACTCAACTACACAGTGCCCAGATTCCTGACCCACAGAAGCTATAAGAGAATAGATGTTTGTTGTCTTAAGCTGCTAAATTTGGGGGTAATTTGTTGTGCAGCAATAGACAACTAATACAAGATGTTCTTAACTGTCCAAGGGTGATTTGAAAAATAAACTCTTGAAGAACTAGCCAGTCTCACCCCAAAGAAAGCACAATGTTTCGTGGGCATAGTTAGGCGGCCCTGGGCTTACATTTCAATTCAGACTTTTTGGGCCTGTGCTTTCTCATTGTAAAATGGGGACAGAAGAATTTCCTGAGTATGGTTACGCGTTACAGCATGTTACATAGTAGGGTTTCTTCTACTTCTCAGCAATAGATCAAGATCTGCAGCATTCTTGGAATTCTTGGGCTAAGGCAAAGTCACGCCTGGAGCAGAAGCCCGTTGGGGGGCTGCCACAGTCGGGGTCAGATCCACCACGTAAAATGCAAAGCTGTGCATCCCCCACTTGCTTGCCTCTTCTCCCAATGGGGCTTGGTTTCGAATCTCCTCACTGGGTTTCAGCAACCTTGGTCTCCTTCTCTGTCTTCCAAATGTATCAACTGTGGTCTAACAGAAGTTGAAGAAAACTCCTCAGTTCTGAGAAATTCTGGAACTTGAGGCTTGCTCCGAGGAGGTGCATGCCAGGCAGGAGAACGGTGGTGAGTGAGAGCTGCATGTCTTCTGCCCTCCCTCAGAAGAAGCCCCGTTGGAGCCCAGCCTACAGTGGGGGGCCGCCGATGAGGTGCTCCTCTCCGATCTTGTTCCTCCCTACAGCTCAGGATCCACCACCTCTTTCCCCAACAGTCGCAGCAGCCTCCCCGCCTCTGCCCCACTGCCAGAGCTGTCTTCACGAAGTAAAGCTCACCCCTGCATTCCCTTCAGAGGTACCCCAGGGCCCACAGAGTGGTTTTCCTACTACTTAGCTGAATCTGGCTCCTGCACACTAGTCTCCCCACCCTGCATCTGTGCTCTGGGCCAGGCAACCCCTGTGAGCCAAGCTCTTTCTCCCTGACACAGACCTTTGCACACACTGACCCTTCTCCCTGGTACAGACTTTCCCCAGGTAACTCAATTCCCCCTTCAGCTTTCTGCCTGCATGCATGTCGTCTGCTCCAGGAAGCCTTCCCGACACCCTAGGCTCAGTGTGGTGCCTCCTGGGTGTGCCCTCAGGCCCATGCTTCCCTCTCTCAGGGCCCCAATCCCACTGTGGCTGCTGCCTCTGTTCTTGCCACCCTCCCCCACCCCAAGAGGCACTCACTTCTAGGACAGAGCTGTCTTTTTCATCTTTATAGCTTTTGCACTCCCACCTATATTGCATCTTACTAATTTCCCAAAGCACAGAGCTCCACAGTCTTCCCAAGGAGCCCCAGTGGGTTAGCGGCCCCTTCTCTAGCCCTACAGCACTTTGTTGTCTCACCTCTGTCAGAGCGCTTTGCAAACCCTTTGGGAATTGTCAGGCCCTCGCAGCAGACAGTGACTCTGCTAGAGCAGGACTGTGTCTGTTTCACCCAGTGCTCCTGGCACCCAGCTAGGGCCAGGTACACAGTAGACATCCAACAAATGTTTATGGAATAAACGATTGAAGGTGAGGCAGAAGGAAGGAAAGACAAAGGTTGGAAGGAAGAAAGGCTGACTCCATTGGCCTCTATTCTTTCCTTCCTTCCTTCCTTCCTTCCTTCCCTCCCTACCTGCCTCCTTCTTTCTTTCTCTCCCTCTCTTTCTTTCTTTCTTTTTCTCTCTCTCTCTCTCCCTCTCTCCCTCTCTCTCTCTCTCTTTCTTTCTTTCTTTTAAAACATCGAATGCTGAGAATTGGATTAACCATCATCCTTGGTTCATGACACACTGTCACCATTAATCCATGTGGGGCCCTTATTTATTTATGTATTTATTCATTATATAATAAACACCCAGGAGCCCACCATGCAACCCGAGGCACCTACATCTCCTGATGTGCTTCTTTCCTAGACCATCTTTTTCTCTCCCCTTCCCATGAAACCACTATCTTGATTGTTAAGGTTTATCATTTCCTTGGATTATTTTTTTCAAATATATATATATAAACAATTGAAAAAATTTAGGCATATACATGTATATGCCTAAAAGTTATTTTATTTAGTTTTACTTGTTTTTTGAACTTTATTAAAAGATGCTACACTGTATATTGTTTTCTAGGACTTGCTATTTGGACTCAACAAGATTCATCCATATTGATGCATCAACTGTAGCTCATTCGTTTTCATGGCTTATAATAGTTCATTGGGTGAACAAACACAATGTTAAAAAAATTGTGCACGACATTTGTTAAAGATGGTAAGGAAGACTCTGTTCAAGGGGGACTGCTACAATGGGGTTTTGTAGTGGGGGACAGAGATCGGACTCAACTCTGAATACAACAAGGACAAGTGGGGACTTATAGCAAAGAATGTGGGAGGGGGCCCGTGGATGGAAAATGACTAAGAGCAAACGTCAAGTGTAGGAGGATTCTTGCTAGACCGACTCAACAGGGATCTTGCTGCAGGCAGGCCAGAGTGAGGGATGAGGAATTTGATCAGCTATCGGGGGTGGTCAGATACCAAAGGGTGGG